AGTTCCTTCCTACGTCCTACCCCTGCACACGCTGTCCCCCACTTGCCACTGCCCCGCACCGGAAGCACATTGGTTAGTCAGTGAGCCCCCCTCACACATCGCTACCACCCCAAAGCCGGAGTGGACATTAAGGTGCACTTTTGGTGTCGTGCGCCCCTTGGGTCTGGAGAAATATATAATCACATGTCTTCCATTATGGCATCAGGCAGAACGGTGGCACTGCCGGAGAATTCTCGGTGTCCTTCCTGGTCAGCCCTCTCCCTTCCGAACCACCGGCGACCAGGGGTCTCTGCGTCTCCAGCGCTGTCCCCTTTCCCGGGATGGCGCCCTGAATCCCACAGTGCGCGACCAGCTCGACCTCCTGGCGTCGTAGGCGTTCAAGGCTCCTTCGTGCGTTTCCACGGCACCAGAGCTCATTTCTTTCTAGCGCCAAACGCTGCTGTCATCTGGGCATAAGTTACTGTGCTCCCTTCTAACTTTCAGTGCTACGTATTTTAAACGCGTGACGTTATTATCACTACTACAGAGTCTATGTTCGGTTAAATTTTTACTTCTTTGTCTATATCTAGCATCATTTTTTGCCTTAAATAGCTCCTTTAGAACTTCTTTCAGCGCATATCTTCTTAAGACGAGCACTCCGAATTTTTGTTTGTCCACCAAGTCTTTATTTCACTTTCATCCTGGAAGAATATTTTACTGAATATAAAGTACCAGCTTGGAAGTTATTTCTTTTCCACATTCTGAAAATATCCTTCTGCTGCCTTCTGGCTTCCATTGTTATCAGACGAGCCATTTTTCAATCCATTCTCTTTTGACTTTTTTTTTTCCTCTCGGTCTTATGCATCTCACCTGTGATGTGTGCAGGACCCACCAGCTGATTTGTATTTATATTCCTTAAAATTCACTGAAGAACCGTGCAAAACCATAAGATTCATTTGTAAAACTGTGTACATCTCAGGGATGGTTCGTGGGTTCTGGAAACCCCTCAGCCATGTTTATTCAAAAATCATCTCTGTGGGAATCTTACCCCTGCTGGGAGAGTGGGCAGATGGACCTCAGACTTCAGTGAGGCGCTGTGTCTCCCACCCTCCCTTCTGCTTTGCCTCCCTTTTCATCTTTTTCTGATAAATTCCTAATTCTTCTGATCTATATTCTATTTTCCTATTTTTCTCTTTTAGTGCACTGAATCTATTCAGGTGAAAAAATGCACACAATTTAAAAATACATCAGAAGAAAGAATTAGGAATATGCCCTTTTCAAATCTGCCTTTTACTTTTATGTTGCAGTTCCTTTTAACTATTTTCGGTCTCGTGTCTTCTTTTTTAAAACGTGGCTGACCTACTTATCGTTGCTCTGTGCCTGACGATTGCAGTCCTTGTGGGTCTGTACTTCCTGTTATTTCTGATGTTTTACTTTTTTCTTTTTCTTTTTGTCTTTCTGAGAAAGGGTTTTGCTATGTAGTTCAGGCCGGCCTTGAACTCATCATGTAGCCCAGGCTGGCCTGGAGCTCGCAGTGATCCTCCTGCCTCAGCCCCACAAGTGCTGAGATGACAGGCGTGCGCCATCACTTTTATGATGTCATACGTTCTTATGTGACTTATTACCATTGCGTGTGTGCTGGATACAATTTGGGAAGTTATTTATTGGACCAGTTCAAGGCCTGGGCTGATAGGACCTTAGCGCAGAGATTTTTACTATTTCTGCCAGGTCACTGGAGGCAATACTTGTCAAGACTTGTCTTATCCCACTTCCAAGTTATCACCATCCCTGGGATGCTTAAGGGACAGGGCCACTAGCTCAGACCTATGCATCCAAGTTTGCTGAGTCTGGTTCCTCTTACTTTTTTTTATTTTAAGAAATAAAAGAAGGAAAACACATTAACAAACAGACATCCATTTACAAAATAGCATAAGAACAATACAAACAAAACAGAGTTACAGACCAAGTTGTAGCAAATTAACAATGGTTGTTGTATTACTTATTGATATCTTCAAAGTGGTTTCTCAAGAAAACAAATAGAGACATACAAGATTGATCAAACAAGTAATCATGAACTGTTCCATTCTGTGGAGCAATAGAAGACGGTAGTACAACTATGTTAGCTATCCTGTATATACATACTTATATAATTTCCCCTTTTTTCCCTCTCTTTTCCCACATCCCAGTTGCCCTTTACTTTTGAGCATTTTCCTTTCATTTTACAATGTCTATCAGACCTCCTAGATTTTATTCACTCTTTCAGGTTCTTACACTAGTGAGACAATATGTTGCTTGCACATGCAGGTCTGATTTATTTCACTTATGAGTATAGTCTCTTGTCGTGACCATTTACACATAAAAGCCTCGAGTTTGTTTATCTTTATAGCTGAGTAATATTCCATTATATAAAAGTACCACAATGTTTTTATCCAGTCCTCAGTGGATGGACATCTGGGTTGCTTCCACAGTTTAGCAATTACAAATGGCAAATAAATACATAAGAAAATGTTCAACATCATTAGTCATTCGAGAAAAGCAAATTAAAACAACATTGAGATTTCATCTCACCCCAATAAGAATGGCTAGCATTAAGAAATCAACCAATAACAAATGCTGGCGAGGCTGTGGAGAAATACGAACTCTCCTCCACTGCTGGTGGGAATGCAGACTGGTGAAACCACTGTGGAAATCAGTTTGGAGATTCCTCAGAAAACTAGGTCTAGAGGTCCCATTCAACCCAGCTATTTCACTGCTGGGTTTTTCCAGAAGATCTGAAAACATCGTACCACAGAGATATATGTGCACCCGTGTTGATAGCAGCGCAATTTGTAATTGCTAAACTGTGGAAGCAACCTCTTACATTAAGGTTGTAACCCTTCAGGATTCCAGCACAATAAATGCAGTGGGGTTTTTTCCTGGAGGCTGGAGAGTACGAACACATTAAGTATTCCACCACCGAGCCTTCGGGCAGCTCTTACCTTTTGTGTGTCTGGACTCCTGAGGGTTCTGCAATCAGGGCGAGCCTTTCACACAAATGTGTGAAATCCAGTGCAATTTGTCATAGCTAAATCTTGGAAGCAACCCAAATGTCCAGCAGCTGAGGAATGGATAAAAAAGTCGTGGTATTTCTATACAATGGAGTATTACTCAGTTATAAAAGAAGGTAAACTCAAGGCTTTTGTAGGTAAATGGATGCAACTAGAGACCATACCCATAAGTGAAATAAATCAGGCCCACATGTGAAAAACATCATATTGTCTCCCTGGTGTAAGAACATGAAAGAGTAAATAAAACCAAAACTGTAAAATAGACAGTAAGAAAGGGAAATAAATTGCTCAAAGGAAGGAACAACTGGGATGAGGGAAAGAAGAAAAAGAAAGTACTAAGGCATTTTATATATTATGGATCAGTGGCATAACTATACTGTTGGTGTCTGATGGTTTTTTGAGGGGAACAGTTGATGTTTAAAAGTTTTTTTTTTTAATATTTTGACCAATTTTGCATGTTTGTATCTGGTAATCTGAGCAATTTATGTGACGACAACAATTTGCAGTATAATATCCCTTGGTCAGTTCCTACAATCCTGCCTAGTGACACTGTGTATTGTCTCTAATGTTCTTTTAAATTATTATTTTCTTGTTCCCTTTAATAATTTGATTAATCTTTTGTTCTTACATCTGGCAATCTGAGCAACTTCACTGAAGATAACTATATGTAATATAACAGCCACTGTTAATCTGTATTTAGTTTGAAACTCTACCATTTTTAATGTCCTTACTTTGTGTTGTCTGTATTTTGCAATTGTTCTTTGTTTTTTTGTACTATTTTCTTTAAAATAAAAAAAGTAAAGAAAGAACAAAAAAACCAAATGTGCGAAATCTTTCTGCCCAGAAGTGACTTTGCAAGCTGAGTTTAGCATCTCAGTTCTCACCTTCTCCTCAATTTAGAGCACAGAAGTCTCTGATGTTCTTTTGGCTTCTGCATCAGGGTCTTGCTTTGTAGTGCAGGCTGGCCTTGAACTCACTATGTACCCCAGGCTGGCCTCCAACTTACAGTGATCCTCCTGCCTCAGCCTCTCCAGGGCTGGGATTGCAGAGGTGTTTCATCCTGCCCAGCTTCTTGTAGCTTTTTGGCTTTTTTTTGCTTGAAAAAATATTTCATACAGATTTTTCAGTTGTGTTCACTAGGAAAGCCGGTATTAATTGCCTGAGCCTCCCTAATGGCGGTGGAAATTTCTAATCCACTTCCTTTGTAAAGTCATAGTTGGCCTTTTAAGGTCAGCTGCTCATCTCCTGAGGGGAGCCTCTTGAGTGGCTTCTCAGCGCACTCGCGTGAGACCTGCACTTCTTACCCGGGTGCTACGTGTTGTGACCCCCATCTGCACACTCAGGCTCGGCCCCTCCTCCCTGCCTCTCCTTGGACTGCACCTTCCCCAGCCTCTTCTCAGTGCAGCTGGGAGGTCGCCTCAGAGAACCAGCTTTCTCTCTTGATGCCTACACTGTCCATGTACTTTAAGGGAATGCATGAAATGTTAATCTAGATTAGTCGAATTTATAATTGGGGATGGCAAAATGCAGGTGGAGAAAATACTTCTCTTTTCAAAGATATTCACCAACAGATTGTTGTTTAAATTTATTTATTTATTTTTCATACCAGGAATCGAACTCAGGACCTTGGCTTGCCAGGCAGATGCTATGCTGCTGAGCCATATTTATTCTTGGCCCAAAAGATTGTTTCAATAGCATCAATAATTCTATTTTATTCTTACTTTCCCCAAACATAAAACTTTATTATATGATATTAAATACTTAAAATATTGTGTTAATAAAAATTCATTCTTAAGGGGAATCGTTTTATAATAGATTTAGCTCCGAAAATGTAAATGCATTGCATATGTAAGCAAATAAGATTATTAAACTGTGTTTCCAAAAATTTACTATAATTAGAGGAAAATGATTTCATGGATTTAATTAGAAGTCACTTAAGAATATGAAAACACCACTATGTTTGGATTTCTTCAGAGTCAAAAATAGAAGAAAATCTAAAATCAAGATCTAGGAGAACCTTTCATTTTCTTAAGGACACAGCTGAGGTAGGTTTAATCTGCATACTTACAAATATGTAATAAAAATTTCTAGTAGTCCTGATAATCTTATGTATGCGTCAATAAATCCCACATTGAAATGAATTTTAGAATCAAAAGCATAAGTGTGTAAAATGATTTCATCTCCGACAGTATGTAAAACTTTATAGGGGACAACAGAGAATATATTTTCTCCTAAGATGTAAATCTACATGCATAATTTAAACATTGTGTTTATTTATTTAGGTTTATAATACAAAAATGTGCGTATCTGTTAATCTGTTTATGTGTAGCCAGGCCCTTTTTTAAGCATGCTGTGGTTAAATCCAATTTTCTAATTACAACAACTTCTGAAATAGAAGCACATTGTTAACTCTCGGTAATCCCTGAGCAGGGGCTTCACGGGCACTCTGAGAAGTGCCAGGCCAGGCTGGGCACCGGGTACACACTGAGTCATAACTAAGCGGTTCCATCTAGGGAGCTGGAGATACAAAGTAACTACAGAATCAGAGAGGGAGCGACACTTAAAGAGTTTTCTAGGTATTAATTTATTATTAACTGTATTGCCAATATGAAAATATACACTTTTTTTTGGTTTTTTTTTTTTGTTTGTTTTTTTCTGGTACCGGGAATTGAACTGGCGACCTTGCACTTGCCAGGCAGACACTGTGCCGCTGAGCTAAATCCCCAGCCCCCTACATTTTTTTTTTGAGACAGGGTTTCATTATGCAGTTCAAGCTAGCCTTGAACTCACTTTGTAGCCCAGACTGGTCTCAAACTCACAACAATCCTCCTGCCTCAGCCTCCCATGTGCTGGGATTACAGGTGTGTGCCATCACTCCAGGCAAAAATATACATATTTTGTTCTTCCCATCCTATGCCCCTTCTCATCAGCTCTTTTTAATCTTATTGACTTCAGTTCCTTTTATAATTAGCTCCATCTTTGTAAAGAATAAGTTTCCATTGATTTTTTTAACTTATCAATTTTAAACATGACGGGCTGAATAGTCAATGAAAAGACTGAGAATTAGCTTATTTACATGGTTTCATGTTTTCCCTCTGGTGCCTCTTCCTCTCTTGGATATTTCAATTACCTTTTGTGCTGCTTCTGTTTTTAACTTTTGTAACTTCAAACAACAGGCCTCGTTTTACTATTATCTTTCGTAAGTAACTGCAGACCCCTCTTTTACAGAAGATGGAAATCTCAGCAATCTTGTCCTTCCCCCCACACTTCTTCTTTAGATCAAGTACTGTGTAATATTTTTGGAGGTCAGTGATTATATTCAGCTTTGTAATTCTGATTGTTGTTTGTACATTAATTCTAAAATTCAAAGTGCTATTCACAGCATTTACATTATTATGTTGTAAATAATCATTCAGAGTAGAACAAAGTAATGCAATAGGATTGCCTTTCTTCTTAATGGGTACAATATAAAAATAATAGATTCTCTTCTCTTATTCTCCATCAGTTAATAAAAATAATGCCATCTTTTGGTTTCCCTTGTATTTAGACCATTCCTGTCTTATGTATTCTCAGGGTTTTTTTGTCTTCTAGTATTTCTAGTTAGTTTTTCTTGGAGAGCATGATAATACTAATAAGAAGCATCTATACAGTGCTATTGCAGGTCAGTTACTCTTTAAACAAAATTAACTCTTAATAACCAAACCAGTAAATACTGTTATCATTATTATACTGTTATGGTTGGTACACTGTGTCAGCTTGGGGAGTCCAGAGGTTTGCCTAAGTGACTCAGCAGTTCTGCATGCTGCGGTAAGAAGGACATGCCCTTACCCTTCTGGGATGTTGGTTATCGTATCAATTTGAGAAGTTTTACTATGTGACTCAGCAGGGAACCAGGGTGCTTACTTTGTGTTCATCCTGAGCCTGTGCAAGAGGAGGGCATGGAGAGGATGTGAGTGTTGCCCCTGGGTGGGGGGAGACTGCTTAAAATACAAGGGAGGGAAAGAGGTTTGCTCTTCTCTGCCACGTCTCTCTTTTGCTCTTGTTGCTTTGCTATCTTTCTCTGCCGTGAACTGTTGCCCTCTGCCATGTGCCACTCTGCCTCAGAGCCAGCCAAGTATGGACTGAAAACTCCACAAACTATAAGCTAAATAAACCTTTCCTTCCTTCATTTTGGGCGATGGGTATTTTGTCTCAGCAGCCAGAGAAAAGTAACCAAGACATATATGAAATGGGACAAAACAACACAAAGAAAATAGATACCATGCCTGAGATCAAACAAAACACAAAAAAATGTGGAAGACCCTGGCAGTCTGATTCATGCTGTTTACCTCTAAGACACACAGCCTCCCCAAAGAGTGTGTAACTCTCACAGTGCATGTGAGCAGGATCCATTTCTTCCTCACTGTCTTCGTGAGGCTGGAAGAACTGTCCTCGAGATCTAAACTGAACCCCAGCCTTGCTCCCAGCCAGCCCCACTGTTGTCACCTGAGTCACTCTACTCCCAGATAGTTTCCCAGATTCTCGGACCCCACATCGTTCTTTTCTTCTTGGATTTTATCTTCTTTTCTACAGTACACCTTCAAGAAGTTTTCCTAGAAATAGTGTCCTAATCACTTCCCCATCACTGGGACAAAATACCCAAGAACCACAACTTCAAGGAGGGGAGGTTTATTTTGGAGCACGGTTTCAGTCCAGGGTGCATAGCTGCAAGGCAGGGGGTGTGGTGGAGGAGGCTGCTCACATCATGGTGGACAGGAAGCTGTGAGAGGGAGGAACCAGGAAGGGAGACACCCTTTGCAGACCACGCCCCCATGGCCTGAATCTTCCACCCAGACCCTACCTGCTGACAGCATACTTAGCTGTACTGGACAAGGAGGAGCACAGCACCCCCAAGAGCCCCACCTCTGGGTGCATGAGGCTTTGATCTAAATCCTACTGAATGGGATGTGGATATATGAGTGGATTTTTTTTTCCAATGCACTTGATTGCTAACTTGACAAAGTAGAATGAGAGGTTTTCAAAATCATTTCTTCTCTAACCCTTGAAGCTGGTGTTCACTGTCCTCTGTAACTTAATGTTGCTGTGAAATGTTCTCAGTCTTTGTAAGTAGACCTTATTGTTTTTGAAAACTCTTTACCAACGTTGCTCTAAAATGTCTTGAGGATGAACCTCAGTGTGGTGATTTAACTCCAGTGTATTCTGTCCTGGTCGGCACGCAGGAGTCTCTAAGGCCAGATGTCTTTCTTTAGCACCCCAAAAGCCTTTTGATTATTTATTTATCCATCTCCTCTCCAACATTTTCTCTGCCATCAAATGACCTAATATTAGGCTTCTAAATTGAATCTCGACATTCTCTGTCTGTCTGTCTGTCTGTCTCTCTCTCTCTCTTTCTCTCTCTCTCTAAATTTTCTAAATTGTCTTTTAGGATGGGTGTTTTCCTCTGGCCCTTTTACAGTATCCTTGTTCAGCCTCATATTGTAAATTTCCGATGTTTCTTTCTTATTCTTGGGATTGTTTTTCCCCTAGAAAATCTGGCCACATTTGTTCTCAGAATTTTCTGATGCTACTCAAGTTAACTTTTGGAAATTTCTTTCTGTTTCTTACATGACATGTTTCCTCTGGTACCAGTGTTCATTTTCTTTGCTGTCGTAAAGATCGTTTCAGTTACTGGTTTTGACCATCACTCGTTGCTGTGGTCTGAGATTTCCCTTTAAAATTCACAGGCTGAAGTTAACTCCCAACAGAATGATATTAAGAGGCTGGGCCATCAGGAGGCTTCAGGCATGGGGTCAGGGGCCTTATAGGGAAGCCCGAGGTGGATGTTTGCTACATCCTGTGACAAGATAGCCACAAGGTGGCGTCTCGGGCTGTGGACGACATCCACCCCTCACGCCCACACCCAGGCCCCAGCACCTCCCAGTGGCACTCTGGGCGGGGAGCGGGCCTTGCACACCTGAGCCCCGCGGGACAGTCCGGATCCAAACTGTAACTGCCTCCCTGGATGATCCTTTTGTTGGAAACTAGGCTTTCTTTCCCTGGTTCTCTGTGTGTCAGTTTAGATTTATCCTGGACATCGTGATCATTATACGTGGGCAGTGTGACTCTGTTGTAATCTCACCAAGAAGACTGATTTTTTCAGCAGTCAGTTCGGATTCAAAGAACAACATAACTCTTGGGCAGCCTCCGTGCGGGTTCAGTTGCCTCGCTCCCAGCTGAGCGCTTGGTTTCCCTTGTCCTGTGTATTGCCGCGGCAGCTGGACCTGGAGGCTTCTCTGAACCCTCTTCCTTACACATTCTCTCCTGACTTTCCCGCAGTCTTGGTTGCTTGCGCTTTGTCCTCTGGTTCGGCTGGGTGAACATAATGTGGCGTTCCTATCCGTTTTATGTGGTAATGCAGTGCCGACTTCAGCCTGCCTTCCAGCTGAGAGCCATAAGGTAGCAACTTCGCCCTTGCCAATCAGTGATTCCGAGTTTTAATAGCGTTTGTCACCTGCTTTAGTTCACTCTCTGGGGTCTTTTGAGTGTGTGTGCATATGTGTTTCGTCTAGCACATGTGGTATTGACCTGAGGTCGGGAAGATCTGATAAGGGATTAGTATTGGTGAATCAGAATTCCCTAATTTTTCTGAACTAGTAATTCCATTAGCTTTTCCTATTACATTATTTGATGCATCCCTAAAAATCTGTGACTAACAGTGGTGGCAGATGTCACCTGTCATAGACTAGTAGATTATCACTAACTGGGATGCTGGCTGTTGCTTTTACATAGGTATAGTTTTTTTAAATTATGTTAATATTTACTCTATTATATTTAGAAAGTATCTTGTGTAGTTGTATCAATAATAGTTGTTGAATTTGTCAAATTGTTTATCATATGTAGCTATTAGAATAACTAGATTGTTCTTCCCTCCTTTTTTAGCCTATTATATGGTGAATTATAACCCATGTATTAGAACCCTCTAAATTCTTGTGATGTTATTTGGCCAGTGAGGATTGCTAATAAATATAGTGTTGATCAGTATTTTATTTCGAATTTGTGCAAAACC